CCAAGTGCAGGGCCAGACATCACGTTCCTGCATGGATCTTGTTCCTGATACACCAAAATATACATTTATTAAAGAACACGCTGAGCCCAGCTATGCATTCACTAGAGACTTATTTTTAACAGGTAAAACACACTTACCACCACGCAGTGCAGGGTAGGACAGAAGGAAGAAGCATCACACAGCTACAGGTGTAACATTAAGTCACAGAGCAACCACGTCCAGCTCCCTTTTCATTTTTCCAGTGCTTACTGTGGGCAGGGGGGCTGCAGGCACAACCCCTCAGAGCCTCCCCGGGACCGCTGCCAGGTCTGCCAGCCTTTGGGAAGCTGTGTCCCAGCTCCAGACGTGTGCAGGCGCCAGCTGCACCCTCAGCTCTGCCTGCTCCGAGGCAGCACCAAACTCCGGATAGCAGCAGCACAAAACCCAGAGAGGGAACCGTTAAAATATGTGTATTTCATGTCCTAGGTGCAGAGAAAAGTGCCAAGTCATTTTACTTGAGAAAAGTGCCAAGTGGTGAAATCTCCAACCCAAACTCTGAATCAAGTTCAGACTTTGGTATTTTCTGCCTTAGACCCATCGACTGCTGCAGATTCTGCAGCCTCACGTCCTCATAAAATGCTGCAGTTGAAATTTCATCAAGGTATTTTCACACCACAAGTATCAGAAAAGTCTTTTGCCAGACATGAACTCGTATCTAATATCTAACACAGATGTGCAAAAAAAGAAACTCAAATTGAAAGAGTCATTCTTCTAATTTAATAGAAATAACCAAAACCAAATTGTTGTCAAACAATGCTTTAAACTGATCTAATACAACTTCTAGAGCACATTCCAGAGCACTTAACAAGAAATACTCACAGGCAGCTAATGCATTAAATAACCATGTAAAGAAAACTTTTTTATTACACACCAGCAAAGAACACAGGAACAATTAGAAACTGCAACCTTGTTTAAAAAAAAGTTAAATATGATTATTCAGATGATACAACACCACAGAAACAGCATTTGTTTGAAGAATCATATTAAAAGATGAGCGAAGTTTACTATGTGCAAAAAAAGAACCAGTTCAATTACTGGAAGCAAGAAATAATCAAAGAATGCCATGAATTTAACCCTTCCATGACTACATTTACATGTAAAACAGGCTTTCCAACACACAAATCTTTATAGGCTTATATACATGTTTCCTTGTGTTCTGAACCTAAGAAATACCCCCATTGCAGGCCATTAGCAGACACGCACTTCTTTTTCTCAACTGTAGCACACTCTAGAGTGAATGCTCCAAGAACTTGAACTTACAAAACATTTTAGTACCTCTCCTTGTAGAAATTCAATAAATTCTCAAGAAAGCAGACTTGAGCTGTAAGATCACTCAATAAAAAAGGCCGAAACTGCATTTCATACATTTAATAGTTCACTTAGAATAAGGGTACGCAAATTAATTGCAGTTTTTGAAAAAAAATTGAATTCAAATACATTAGAAAGCATATAAAGTAGGATCCCCATAAGCAAACACAGGAACTAGATGGAAGAGTTACTGTACATGCACTCTGAGAAAATAAAAGAAATTGCCATATCCAAAGATACAATGCATATGTTCAATCTGAAATATGTCTATGTAAACTGTGGCTTTTTTCTCTTTTAAAAAAGTACCTCCATTATTTACTCAAATACCTCTGTTTTAAAAAAATATGTAACTTTCCCCAATTTTTAAAATAAAATGCCACACTATACTGTCAATAACTCCTGCACGCTTTGTTTGTAAAAGCTAGACTTGGTGACATGCAGACAAACTTTCCTAGAAAATCATTATGCAAAGTAAAGAACTACTGTCATGCTAACAGGCGACAGACAAAGCAGTTTTATTGCTTTTTCCAAGGAAGAGAATAAGAAAAACAAGAAAAAGCCAACTTCCAGTATCATACACACAGCTTTAAAATACTGTTGCCATTACCTAAACTTTTAGAGGACAGCCAATAACCTAGGTTATACAACAGAATGATAAATTTGGACTAATTTTAAGGAGTTCTGTTCCAGTGGCTTGCAGAAATGTTTATAGAACATTTCAACTATCCAGTGTTACACGTGCCAACACAGTCTAATGTCACAAGTAACAGCAATGGTGACATGCCACACAAACCCCCCTCATCTCTATGTTTAACAGAGCATTTCTATTTTCTAAAGTTTGGGGAACATCCTTTTTTTGGATAGTGACTCTGCCCTATCACGCTATAGGCCACTTAATTCCAGGGCAGTGAACCAAAAGACCTGAACCTATTCAGCTGGGTAAATTATCACTAATCACTAGTAATTACATGGCAGGGCATCTGCTGAGGTAATTGAGAAGTCCACAAGTAGCATATTGTACACTTTTCACTTGAAAAGCAAGTTGCTTTTTACTTCTTTGGATTAACTTAAACTTCAGGGTCATTTACAACGAAAATTGAGAAGTCGAATGTCTTTTCACAAATGTCTTAACTGAGAGCATAGAGTTACACCAAGGACCGGTCTTTCTTCTTGCTGTCCTGTTGGAATACCGCAACCAGAGCGCACCCACATCTCACTGTGCGCTCCTTTCCAGGTCACTCGCACGTATTGCACACACGTCACTGCCTCAGAGTAGCACAGTAGCACCTTAATACAAGCCCCATTAATTTGCTCTTGAACAAGTTACATACAGCGTGGCACCAAAAACTGCTTTTGACCGAGCAAACCCTCACCAGTTCTGCAATGAACATTTACAGACATACAGGACCAGGAAATGTATTAGCAAAGCTAATCTATCCTTTCAAATATTTTTGAATAGAATGCAGCCAATCTCAAACAATCACTCAATTGTTGTACTGGGAGTTCCAAAAAGAAGGGGGAGGAAGAAATATTTTTTTAAAAAATGTTTTGTTTCTTTTATAAAAAGAACCGGGATTTCATGCACACAAGTCAGAATTCCACATAATACTACTGAGCACTGAGATGAGCTGAATGGAAGGGCCGATTCTGGAAGTTCGGTGGGTCATGTGCAAGAGCAGACCTTGAACTCTCGCCAAGGCCAAAGCTCAGCGTCCCTTGCCCTTTGCAGGTGGACAAGCAGAGCACAGGCTGTCGCTGGTCTACAAAGAGCGACAACTTGCCCACCTTGTCACAGGGAGAGAACCAGAGGCTATCCTGAAACCTTTGCACATCTGCCCTGGGCTCCGGGTGCTCGTGCAGCAGCCAGCGCCGTGCGCGCCCCAGGGCTCTGCAGTGTGGTCCTGCCCTGCTGCGACCCTGCGAGTGAGCCCGGCTCAGTCCCACACGGGCAGCGGGAGACCGCGGCACTCAGATCCGCGGCAGGCACCTTATAAAGTGAACAGTTCCAAAGCTGAGGCCTGGAGGGACCAATCCCAGAGTGCCTGAGCACCATAAAAATAGCAACCCCAATTAAAGAGAATTCACAAGATCTTATTTTCATGATAATTTTAATGATATTCCTTTGCAAAATGAAGCTGAGAAACTAGAAATGCACAAATAGGCAATACACAGATCCATTACATGATCCCTTGTTACTATTAGTGCCCTATTCACACGTTGTCCTTTCTATGGGCAAAGTTTTTGCTATTTGCCAATTTAATATGTTTAAGTAGAATTACCTCTTTTCCCTTCACATACAAACTGGTAAAAAATAAATTTAAACTGGCACTATGTCAATATCTGAGAAATGAAAAGACAAAAGTTTGAGTTTTAAACGTAACATTTGTGTAATCTAAAGAAGTGAGCTTGAAGTTACAAATACCTTCAGTCCCCTCATTTATTGTAAGAGAGGTGTAGTCACAAAGTACATATACTTCTTTCTTCTTATAAAAAGAAATAAAATCTTCAGTGATTTGCATAAAAATTGCTGAGAGCATATCTCATTTTGATACATTGTGCGAAAATACTTATCTTTACCATTACGGTAAAGCATATACAACGTCACAGGAATTGCTCATGACGAGTATACCAAAACCCCAGTGATTTACCACAGGACTGCTGTACTCGTATCAAATCTTACGGCAAATTTAGTCTGTCAGCCTCACCTCATCCAGTTACACGATTTCTTCACCTTCCTTTAATAAGATCTACATGAAGGCCAGAAATTGTATTTATTATTCCTAGCACTGACTTCTGCCAGTAAAGCAAACAACTGTTCAAACCACACTCGCTTTGTGATGACCTCATTTCGCACCAGAAGCGCCGAAGGAAGGCCGTGTGCAAGGGGAAGGCACTGCAGAGATGCCTGCCACGGGGTTCAGGGAAACGGGAATCATTCTGCTTTCAATACTTGAGCAGAAACCACTCAAAGCCAAATCCTGGTCTGTGCAAGAGCTTTGTTCAATGGATGGACAAGTAACCCAATCTCAACAGATTTACCCCAAACTTTCTCGACATTTCACTCATAAGCTGCTTCTGAAGAAAGTTCTGAGTAGTACTCTAATAAAAATAAGACAGAACCTCAAAATGAATGCAATGTTAGAAATAGCATATATTACAAATCTTTTCTTGATAGGAACAATTAATAAGAATACATATTAGCTTAAAAACAGTTCAGCAAATGTTGCCGATCTGCAAGAAATCTCAATTCACTATTTACAAATAAGACAAAGTGAATACAGCAAATTTTACACATTTGGTAGTTAATAGGTTATTGTTTGCCGAGTGGTCTATTAAGAAACTGATATTTAGGAAGACTGGAAAACACCCCAACTAGTTATTACCTCTTCAGTCTACATCTTAAGTACAGAAAAATAGACAATAAATACTGGAGTTAGCATTCTGCCTCATTCGGGGGATCAAGGACAGAGGACACAATGCTAAGATCTCTGCTGTGAAAGCTGTTAAAATGTTCTGGGTACAGGATTTGTAATAAATACACCTACCCTACTCAAACGGGATTGTTGTCACCAGTTGCATCTTTCACCTGTCAAGAACTCACACTCCTGCACTTGCCAATTCAGAACAGTTTAATGATGGTTTTTTCCTTTTGCTATACATAAAATGTATAAAAGAAAGTAAAATTTAGATAACTGGATCAACACAGAAGATCAGTTATTCACAATACCACTTAAATGAGATGATAAAGGCAACGACCAACACGCACTTAAGTTCACACAAAGAGGGGGTTGATTTCAGGAACGCTGCTTACAGTTTACACTGCATGAACACAAGATACAGCAACTGCACTAGTCCAGTCCTGCAGAACATTTCACTAAGCAGTCTTATCTGTACACGGAACAACTCTTATCAGAGCTGCTTCTCTTCAACATTCATCCACCTCTGTCTGTGAGATCAGGATGAGTGTGTCCCCTCCATCAGAAAGAAACAATACAGCAAGTAATCAAGGGCAAAAAAGAAAAAAAAAACACAACCAAAAATTTAAAATACATTTTTTTCCCCTCTTGAGAATGCTTTTCTGTACAAGTGGGTTTTTGTAATCTAACACTGTGTAAAAAGCTATCAGCTTCTTCAAGATGGCCACTGTAGGCATGATAATATTCCAGGAACACTTAAATAACAGTTTTTACAATAAAATTTAGGTCCATATCATTAGATTACTTTATATGCACTGGTCTCTCATCTGATTTTAGGCGTTTTCTACGTGGTTGTATAAAATCCTCATCGGAGTCCTCAGTTATTTCACCATCATCCTCCTCCTGCTCAAATTCAGGCAAAGGCTGGAAGGTCCTGTCTGGGTAGATCTCTGTGAGTTTATCTTCAAAGTATAATGCAACTGCCTTCCCTGCCTGCGCTACTTCTGAATCAGCCTGTAAACAAAAGAAGACAGGAATATTCACCTGTTGGAAATGCACATCCCTTCACCAAGTGTGCATGGTCTGAAACGCTTACCTTCAAATTAATCTCTTGTGTTTCTGCATAAACTTGAACAACTCTCATCATCTAAAAAGGATACCAGAGTCAAAAAAAATGAAATTATAATCCTTTCTAAAGTTATGAGATTGCATAGGATTGGATGACTACAGTCAGCCATAACAACAAAACAGTTTGTTATGGACTATACCTCTTTAGTTCTCAAACTTATCGGAAGCAGGTTTAAAACAGTCTTACGAGAGTGACATGAGGTAAATAAAACTTCAACAAAACACACAACTTTTGTACAGGTAAGTGCCTCCCAGTCGTTTTCAAAACTGCACTTGACTCGTGACTGCTCTCCTCATTATAAACTTTAGTTGCCTGGACCTTACTGTGGAAAAGTCTCGCTTTAGAGAGAACTGCTCCATGAGACTACTGTGGGGGTCTCACCCCACTTGGATTTCTATTTTTTAAAAGCATATGGCTTAGAGGCACCAGAAACGACGCTGCTGTGAGAGTTCAGGGTGACTCATCCTTTCCCAGTGAGCCGGCATTTCAAACTGCAAGACAAGCCTGAAACACCTCGTGAAAAAGCAAACACATCTTTTGGTCCTTGCTCCTTTGTTTCACTCTCGTCCCTAAAACCTGCAGCATGTTTTCCTCTACAGCAGAGGATGCTTTAATTCCCTTGACTGAGAAGTTCACATAAATGCAGCTTCTTCCACAGTGCTCCTTAACCTCAACCTAATACAGAGACATACGGGAGTCAGGGCTGTCAGACTCCCAGATGCTTGCAAGCATTTACAGCATTACATCGCTAACTTTCATTTTGACTAGTGTACTTGTGAAACAGTTGAGATTTTAATTATAGGTTTGTGTACTTCCTTTAGTTTACTTCCTCGCAGAGCCAGAAATGCAGCCCAAACACTGCAAAACAGACTGCATTTTACAAAAAATACTGGCTGTTTCATGCACTTCTAAGGTCCAAAGAAAGCAATTCTCTGCAATGCCTTCTGCCCGGGGCTTTCCATCATCAAAGGTTTTTTAAATATTCAGAATATTTTTTCTGTTGCTCCTCCTGGGGGATATATAGTGTTATTCCTAAGTCACGTTTCACACGTGAGGTGCAACGTGGTCCAATGAGGTGTTCCATTATAAGATAGGCTCGCTGCAAAATAAGTCAGCTTTCCCCATTCTTCAAAAATGCGACTCCATACAAAAGTTATCTACTGAAAACTGACTTTTGTGAGAGCCCAACTACCCCATGAGCTAAATCACTAAACTTAATGCTAGCCATAATGAGCACAATGCTTTCCTGGACTCAGCCTCCACGACACACTAGAACCAGTGGAATATTTTTCAGAAAGGCACTTTTCCTCAGCAGAGGTCCACCACGTTTTATGAGGGTAAGAACAATTACCTGTATAGCTTGAGACAGTTTTAAGGACTGCTTGATTGTCTTTATCACCACACTTCCAAAGCACTTCTACAATCTATTTGATGTACAGTAACAAGGTGACCCTGCTCCTCAGCCATATACCCACACCAGTGAATGCACTTAAAAAGCTCCCTCTGTTAAAGCTCAACCTTCGCATTTAGCTAAAGCTGAGATGTAGTTCTGTAATTGCATTTGTTTCGCTTCTTTTTTAAGTGTCGGGTTCAGCAACTGCTCCATAAGCAGAAGTTACAACTAGAAGCAGAGCCTTTAATCAGAGAAGCTGTACAACCATGTTGAAATAAATCTTAAAAAAAAAAAAAAAAAGCATACAGATTGGAAGTTAACATACTTCATTAAACCTTTCACAGTTCTTGAAGATTAACCGGACATCTGCCACAAAATCCTCAGGAGTCTGGTAGTGTTGGGAATGCTTCTTTTGCAGTTTCTTTTTCACTGTAGATAAATCCATTGGTTTCTTTATAATTTTATAGTAGTTTGGTATCTGTAAAAACAAAGTGACTGCAATGAGTACACAGTTCACAGAACCAGCTGAATTTCCTCACTTATCAAAAGATCAGTAGCTAATCTCATCAGGCACCACAACCATGTGCAGCAAGTGGGAACAACTTCCCTTCCTCAAACTGTTTAAGTTCTTTCTAACTTTCAGTGTCTGTCTACCACAGCACAGCAATGCTTTTCATTATAGTTAATTCTTTTACAGCTGAAAAAAAAGTCAAAGCAGTTTCTTTCCTCTTTTTATTTACAAGATTGTCACACAAAAAAAAAGCCCTCCTAAAGCATTTTGAATTTTACAGGTATCCTGAGATATTCTTCCAATTCAACAACTGCTAATTGAAAGTACTTTTAAACATCTGTGTGTGAGGCTGCTGGGAGAAGCTACAGAATCAGCTTGTCTCTCAGAATCACAACATACTCGATGACCGCCAGAACTTTTGGATTGATCAAGGGTGACAGGCTTTAAGGAAAAGCAGTAAGTTGCTTCCCTGAACTCGACTCCAGACTTTTAGAGATGTTACGCCAAAAACAGACCACAAACTGTTTTTCAGGAGACTCACCGAGGCTGGCACTGGCTCTTGAAATTCAATGCTCAGCTCATGGCAATACAGGTAAAGCAGGAGACGTTCACATTTCTTACAAAGAAAAAAAACAGCTTCATATTAATATCCTTAATTTATCCTCAGCTCAGAAGTTCATATCTCCCTATTTTAAATAGCTTTGTATTTTAGCAGCTTAGTACTATCCACACAGGCTTAATTATAAAATGTAAAGTTCTCAGGAGGGCACTGCTGAGAGAGTAGAACACCACTTTACTGTTCACACAGCAGAAATATACTCCCTTTTTGCCTTCTTCTTCCTCAACAAAGCCTGGGGCTAAGACCAAACACAGCGGCACACTAACGCACAGTCAAACTATAAAAAAGACAAACTACAACCACTTCTGTCCAACCATAATTGCGTGTAACAGGAAAGGACTGAGCTGCAGACTTTCCTTCTTTTCCCCACAAGACAGAATCTGAAACCAAAGTCAGAGTGTATCTATGAATTCCTTGTTGAAATATTTTTCCTTCCTTTGGATCAATTTGATATGATAATACTCTACCACGTTATGCACAGGCTGACTGATAACATCAAAAGTTCTTCTGTCTGTCCAGGTCATTACAAGAATGTTCCTAAATACTTGTAGCACCTCTCACAGCACGAACAACACAAACTTACATAACGATTTTAGGAAGGTTATATCGATGCTAAGGATGCACTTAAATACAGAATACGTGTTTACACGCAAGTTGTAGGCACCAGATGATTGCAGCCCCAATGTAATGGAGCACTCTCACATAGTCTCCAACCCCTGGATTTGTGCTCATAGCGAGAAAAGTCTCATCACTCATTTCAGAAGCTTTTTGTTTTGTTTGGTGGTTTTTTGGTTTTTTGCAAGCCATGACTATATTTAATTGGCTGGAGCCACAGCAAAAATATTTTCAAGAAACAGTGGGGGGTAGCTAATGTGAGAAAGCACTTCTTTTTCTAGGAAACACATGCCAACAGTTTTGAGACATACCCTCTGGTCCACAGGACTCAGGCCTTGTGCAGTTTTCCCTTTCTTGCTGTGTTGTGAATTGTCACAATCATATTCTACTTCTGGTTTGCTCAGATCTCTGCAGAATGTACATATCCACTCTCCACTAAACAGAAATAAACACAATTATTCCAGATATCCAGAGTCAAAGTTTCATCAGTGATGACTACAAAACTTCTTCATTAGCGATGACTACAAAGATTTTTTCATTAGTCCGTACGGATTCACAGTGTACTGTAATAAAGACACGGATACGCAAAGATAAGGAATAACTCTAGATGCTCAAGATAATCTGCCAGTCAGGGCCATTTACCTTGCCCTCATATTCTTCTCCTAAGTATGCTCTAATAATTTACAAAACCTTTCTCATTATGACTTTAAAATGAACTTTACCTAACAGAATCACGCTTTGACAGACTGTATGTTTATCAGATAAACACTGAGCAGTTACACACAAAACAATCCAGGTAGGCCTTTGAAATGTTGGACTTTTTTTTTTTTTACTGACAAGAAGTCATCCAGAACTAGCTGATGTTGAGGACGAAACACCAGTTTTGGTACTGTGTTGGAATGAACGAGACCTCGGGCTGTTCTCAGGAACCATCGCACTGTTTCTGGTACCTTGGAAAGCTGAGGAGTGTCGGTACGTGACAGGTCAGGTGAAACACCTTTGGGCACTTTTCACAACATAAGAGATCCCCTCCGTTTTGGCATACAGCACACCAGTCTTCATTTGGATCGTCATCCTTGTTATTGCCTTCTCCTCCAATCCTGGCCGACCGGTGCATCAGACTCCGCACTGGGGATTTTCCGTTTACAAGGCCATGTCCAGACTGTTTGCAGCTTTCACTTAAATCTGCTGGTTCAGCCTTCACATGATTTTCAAGACTTCCTAACGCTTCTAATTCACTTTCCAGATGCAAGTTAGTGGACAGTGGTGGTGTCAAGCTGCTCTCAGGACTGCTAAGCTGAAATGAAAGTAGCAGAAAGAGTCAATTTTACAAGAGCATCTTTCCTCGTTTATTTCCAAAAATATGTGGCAATCATTATGAAGAGCCGAGTTGGGTACAGTACTGAAAATTACCTTTTCACAAGTCCATCCTTTCAAGAACAGACTAATTTCTAGTGACATATAACATGATAAAGAAAATTTAAAGCCAAACACACCAATAAATTGTTAAAAATACACCTTCACCATCACTACAAAAAAAATCCTCAAATCCACCACCCTGCTCCCAGTACACAATCCTATTAAATCAAGATCAGCTGGGAAACACTGAAAAATATTCACTAGCATAAATATTTTCTTAATGCTCTGGCATAGGAACTTTTGACTGATTGGAAGATTTCTCAATGTAATTACACATGCACGAATACTGAGGAGAGACTAGCAATGGGTGACCTACAGTTTTTATTAGGTTAGGGATTAAATGCAGTGAACACACCTCACTTCTGCAGTATTTCATTTTAATAGCCAAAGATAAAATTTACATGACAGGCTATCCTGTCAGGCAGTGTAAGTATTAAAGGATATAATAAAGTCCTCAACACAGACAACCAAGATTAAGTGCTGTTTTCTATCAGACTACTTTCAACACACAACTACCTATAACAATACATAAACCTGACAAGGATTAGGTGTGTTTGGCATTCACACCACCAGGTGAAGTCCTGTCCAAATCAGGAAGGGAAGTGTCTGCCATCATTTAGTGTTTATTTGTTAAACATAACCCAGGAAGCTATTATTCAAGTCCCATTGCCAGCTTATTAGTACCTATGTCATAATCCCCAAGTAATTAACAGCCTTAGCAGCACTACAAAAACAGACAGCTCAGCACTTGAGCTGGTCCAAATTAAAGCTCAGGTGTACTGCCAGGGATCTCTCAGTCTTCAGGGCAGTTAACAGAATATGAGCCGTAAGTGTAAAACTGCTTTTTTATTTCAAATTCTAACACATGCTGCTAGAAAAAAACATAACATACTCTTGTACAATCTAACTTTACCATGCAAGCACTCCTCCTGCCATCCTCTGTTTTCTCCTGTTTTACTGTTCCTGAGAAACTGCATATCTCTTCCTCCGTCCCTGGCTCTTGCTTGACTTTCACTTGGTCAGATTTGAAGTTAACGCTAGTTTTCTCAGCAGTTCTGCCCGAGGAGCCACAGCTAGAAAGATAATACCATATAAATTAGAGGAAAACTCATCAAAGCAAAAAAACTTAAGTCACCATTTCCTGAACAATTTGAAAGGCAAAGCACATCAGAACATTTACAAGACAGCAGAGAATCATAGTGAAGGGTTTCTGTGTGGTGGGTTGGGGAGAGGAACCTTCTTCATGCAACCATTCTCCCATTACTGTGTCACAGTTATACTGAAGTGCTATGAACCATTGCCAATTTGTTTTTTGAATTCTTCATGTCTGATTTTTTCAGTCTGGAAGTGTTAACGCAACATACCTTCCTCTGCTCCCTGTGCTGGAGGTACTAGGTGGCCTCACAGGAGTGTGGGAGTTGGATAAACCTGCAAAGAAGCAGCGTAGAAGATCACTTGCTACAAATTTACATTCTGCAGTAAATGACTAGTGTTGAGTAACACCAGAAGTGCTTCTAGAATATCCTAATTTAATAATTCACATAAGTCAGCTCTCCTCTTAGTTGTTTAACCAGAACAAAGGTCTAGCACATCACCTTAAATAACCCCCCTCAACGCACTATTGTTAGAGCCCCGATCATTATTTCCCCTAATCCAAATACTGCTACAGCCCACAGCCCATTAAGTCCTCTAATTTTACACACCAGCATCCACTAGTAAAGTCAAAAAAAAGCAGACTATGCCAGTCATAGTTTGCAGGCAATAATCAAAGTATGTCCTCTGATGCACAAGAAAAGAATTGTGGTAAGACAGAACAAAATATAGTCTATACATTTATCTGGAGCACTGCACTCAGTTTGTTATTATATACTATATTGTATTTTTCTGAAGGAGGGTAGAATTTAGATTTCCAGAAGAACTTATTTCTGCGCAAAATAAATTTTAAAATAACAAAACATCCCCTCCCTTTTAGCAGGAAATGGTAGGTAATTATTTTCAACTTAAATACCTGAAGGACACATCACCTTCCAGAATCACTAGAAACACCCATCACATTTACCTGATGACCCCGGAGACAGAGCTGAAGGTCCTGGGGAGGGATTCATGGTACTTGTAGGTTGTGGGGGTAGGTGGCTGCCTGTTATGTATCTACTTAGAAGGTTATCTAAGCTACTTGAACCAGCATCTTCAAGCTAAGAAGCAAAAACAAAAGTTTCAATCAGAGAAAGCTAATTAAAGTTTCTTAATAGTTCCACATCTTTAAACTGTGATCAGTACCTTTACCGGACTTTTTCACTCTTTCTTTAAGCATTCAGGACATCAGCAAACATTTTTATCAGTTTCATACAGAGATCAGTCTTTCAAAACAGAAACCCACAGTCAGAAACTTTCAAAAGTTCCTCAGTATGTGAATTCCTCCCGTATGGTCACAGGCTGCCCTTACTCCAGGTCATTCCAAACTTTTGGTTCCCAGAAGTTCCCTGTGTCAGTCAAACGAACTACCAGATTACTCATGTTGCAAGACTTTCTCCACAACCAGATATTAAGGGAAACCATGAACTTGTTTTTCCTTAGCACGATGCTTTTTACACTGATTTTGGTATCTGTTAAAATCAAGGAAACTGCTTAAAGCTATTAACTGCAGGACAGCAATCTTAGCAAATAACATGTTTGAAACACGTTATATCCAAAGCAGAGGTTTTGTGACTCTGTGAGCAACTTGATAGACTAAGTTTCCTATGCAACTCTTTCATCAACTAAAATCCATACCAGCTATCAAAGGAACAGGTATAAAAAAAAAGAGCACCCTAGCAGCATTCTGCATCTTTAATTCACCTAGAAGTTGCACATTTATGTTTTAGACTATTCCACTAACAACTGTTTCTAACCTGGTGTATTATGAACTTTAGACACGTACAGCAAAATCAGTCATAACCAGTTACGCTTGTGTTTTGTCATACTGACTAAAGCTTCAGCGCTGCACATTGTCACACTCGGAGATACGATTTTTCCTCCTCGCTATTCTCACATTCGCAAGTTATCTGCAGCCTCATGAGCAAACTGAATGTACAGCTGTGGTGATGCAATTCCCCCACCCTCCCTCTTTCTTTCGAGATACTTGGTACTGGGTACAATTCTTTCTGGAGGGAGGGTAAACCGACCTGGGAAGGTTGTGACAGACAGAGGCCAACAGACACGAAGGCACCCCCTTCAAGCAGCTGGCTCCTGCCTTTCCCACTGCGTGTGAGACGGGGCTGCCAGAGTACGAAGGCACCCCGTGATGTGCCGCCTCTCCACTGTCGGGGAGTAGCAAGAACAGTTCATCGCCTCTGACACGCTGAACCCGCTGTACCTTGTACACAGGTGTATCTCAGAGAAATATATTGCCACCTCTAGACATGGCAATAATGCAATTAGTGGAAAATACCAGTGTATTTCACAGTCAGAGGGGGCTGGTATGGAAAAGTACCGAGTGAAAGTCGATTATCTCAGACTCCGTAAACAGTTGTTCTAAGGGAGACCCTTCGAGCCCTCCTGGATCACAGTCAGCTGTGACCAGCATCTTCCCTCAGGTGTGACACCTCTCAGGTACAAAACTCCTTGAGGCCAGGGCGAGTCATAGAACCACAACATCATCGTGAGTCATCCTCCTTGAGCCTCAACTATACCTGCTGAAGAACATCAACGATGCATTGTATTTGCTCCAAGCTCCAGAAGAGGGAAATTGTTGACTACAGGTTAACCTTTATCCACACTCACTACTTACTCATGCGTTGAAGTATACACACTTGCTTTCACAAGTGCAGATGTCCACGGTGTGAACTTGACTGTCTAGACGTACCTACTACTGCAGGTTTATATTCCGTACCCATGCATGCAGACATATACATTTCCTTTGACTGAAATACCTTGCAGTAAGTTAGCGTGCATCTTGTAATCTAAAGAATCTGTAATTAAGATGCTATAACCTATTCTACCATCAGTTAATAATTAAGTGCTGCTAAAATCTAACTCTTTTATATCTCATATCATTAATCAATTTTAAATAATCACTAATCTTAACCTTTGTCACATCAATCTATCCTGCGACAATCACCTTTGAACACGACTCTCTGGATGAAGAGTTTAAAAGTTGCTATTGGTATTACAGCAGACCATCTGCTTGGACAAAACTTAGCTGTGCCCAAGTCAAGAGCTGAATTTCATTCCTTGACTTTAAATGGTAACTAACTGTACCATTCCACAGACAAGTACCAGCATCCAAAGAAAGCAGATCATTTTTTCAACCACAGCACAAGTGGCCGATGATCTCCACTGACCTGGATGGGTGGGATATCCGGCAGGGAAGGTAAATTCTCTGGGTTTGTTACAGAGGGAATGAGTTCGATCGCTGTAACGGACGGACTTGTTGGACCACGGTTTGCACTTGCCATTGTTGCTGTAGTAGGACTAGTTGGATTAATAGTGGTGTTGTGCACAGAAACAACTGGAAAAGGCCCCGCATGGCCAGGGTTAGAATGCTGTAGGAAAAGAGAAGAGACCATGACTGCATTATGGACAAATCAGCCACTGCATATAAAAGTTCAACACGTGCATTATACGACAGTCCTCAACAAAAAACTGGGGGGAAGAACATATAAACTCACATTTCTATCAACATAACCTGACAGCACTGAATGCAAAGCAACTGCTATTTTTATTTACTTGAGCAGAAGGAACACTTTATGTGGCTAGACATTCAAATATACAGTACATCTTCCACCAATTCATTTTCATATATGGTTATATTTTCTGAAAGCAACTAATTCCTCCAAAGACAACTTTAGAGTCCATATGTCTGTCCATTTTTATTTTATTTTATTTTTTTTTTAGAAAAGAGTAACTGCTACTAATATTGTAAAACCAAGTATCATTTTTGGTTTTCCGGTCGCATTAACATTCATAGTCAAGAATTTTTATTTTTAACAGTATGCAGAGCTCTGCATCATGCTTCAAGTTGGAATTTAAAAACACGGGAGAATTTGGTTTCACTAAAAACCCTCAACTACACCACTTTGAACTTCACTACTCCTGACTATTCTCTAAGAAATCCAAAAGCTGAATGTCACTGAAAAGCAAAAAAGGAAATCTTTTGTTCCCCAGAACTAAAATGCAATACGAACACCAGAATTCACTTTCAATCTTAAGGTTTGAATTTTCTTATGCTCAGCAAAAATGTCACAGTACAGTATGCAACATGAAAAAGCATGTAAATGTGTGTAGCTGTGAGTTGGAAGTGCTAAAGATAAACACATTTACAGCCAGAGGTATCATCTATCGTAATGAAAGTTTGGCACAATGGCACAAATGAAGCGTGTACACAGGATATACTTGTCTTTGAAGGTGAGGTTGCATCATGGAGTATTGTGGTCCATTGTGGCGTGGTACTCCTGGTATACGAGCAGCATTCTGAGCCATTCTCATCTGATGTGCTTGGAAAGCCCCACAGTTCATGTTACCCCTCTGCATGGTCTGCATGCTGATCAACCTGGGAGGCTGCAAGGGTTTTTGTTTTTTAAAATTTTTGCTTTTAACATGGAAAAAAGAAGCCAATCTCTTTCCACAGCAGTAGGTTTATTAGTTACAGAACATAAAGAAAAGCCAATAGCCGTCACATTTAAAGTATGTCAAATTTCAAAAGATTTTCACGTTTATAACTGCTTTGTAAGTTTATATTTGATAGGGCAGTTTTAAGCCTCGGTGTTATGGTAAAAGGTGAAAGAAGAACATACAAGATACCTACCTGCTGCTGTAAGATTTGCGGACTCGTCTGCCTGGGAACCGACCCAGCTGGCTGCCCCATCCTCATCTGCTGCAGCTGCTGATGCTTTTGTGCGTACACTTGCTGCTGCATATGCTGAAGTCGAAGCTGCGCTAAATTGATTTGTCCTGGAGCTTTGCTGATGTGGTTTGTTCCTGGAGGAGTTTGTCCAACCACTACATTAGGAGTGTAACTAGGAGTCGGTTTGTTTTCAATGACAAGGTTACCTAAACAAAACAAAAGAAGAACTAGTAAACAGTCAAAACTCCATCACCATCCAAAGGTTAATTGCAGAATATTCAGACATTTCTAATTCAGTTTCCTCAGCAGTAATAACAAAGGAACTTAAGTCTGATATTTTCTTTTTAAGTCTCTATAACCATATGTGAGGGAAGCAAAAAGAAAGACTATAAGAAGAAATTGCAAAACTGAAAGCATGATGTGTGAGGAAAGAGTGAAAGTATTGGAACTGCACAGCCTAAAAAACAAGACAGATGACTGTTCTCTGTGTCGACAACAAACAGACAGGATGAGAAATAAAACAGGAAAAAAACTTGCTGAGCATAAAGTTTCTATACCTAGGGAAGCAAAGTCCAGGAAAAGATATTTTGGGAGGAACAGTGGAGCATGTCCCATCACTGAACGACTAAGAACGAGCAGGACAAAACACTGCTGCAGGTAAGCTGCTCAGGTGCAATGCAACGGACAACACTGCTTTCCTAGCTACCTCCAATCCTATTTTTAAAGGGAAAAGGCAAAACACTGATTTTTGACTTTGAGCATGTACTCATTGGAATCTGCAGGTCACTTCTTGTTGAGGTTGACAGTTCCTGATCTGTTTGCTGTACAGCTTCCCCAACCTGCTCCGGCTTCCTAGTCCAGCAACATTTGAAGGCCTCTTCTGAAAAGCCTTTCTTTTCCCTTCTTGACTAATCTCCAAGAGTAATAGCACTCAAAAATCGCTTGAGGAACTGCCCATGAAGGAACAGCATCAAATTTAAGCCACTACTTACACAATTAAAATTTTGTTTACTGTGCACATAAACCTACTCCACTAAAGACAGGAAAAACCCGTCACTAAAGACACCAAAACCTGTCTAGTGGACTTGGTGCAAAAGCATCAGGAAGAGATTATATTTTTATCAGGTTTTATCCAAAGGAAAAGTACACAAGTAGTTGGTATCGGATAACTCATCTCGCACTTGGAAAAGTATAAATGATTAGGAGATTAACATGGGAGAGAAACTGTGACACTACACTGCTGCAGGGTAAGGCAATAATAAAGAGGCTAAGATATTAAACATCTTACATTCTTAAAAGAGCACGATATTACTGCATCTGACAACTGCCAGCAATGCTCAGTGATCCTAACCGCAGAAGTCTAGTGATCCTAGCTGCCACCAAGTGTTCATGCAGAACGTGAGCACTCCAAGTCTCTACCTCTGCAAGACTATTACCAACTCTCAGGGCAGCTAATGCTTTGGGGCAAAGAAGGAATAAAGGGCTGCACTGAGGAAAACGACTTAATGTATGAAGGGTTGCAGCTACAGTGCCAGAACCTGCTGTGTGGCAGTTCTAAGCCACACACACAGAAGAACAGCAGTGTATCTCCAATTATGAGGCTCAGTTTTTCTTTACCTTTATAAACGTGTCAGACATCTTAGAATACAAAATTAGTTAAATATTACTTCTTAATTCACTTATCTTTCCAGGAACTACATGATCTGACTTGGTACACAGCCACAAACTTAGCTCATATCAAAAGCGCTCCTAATTCTCCTTGCTCATGCCACTTTCAACACATTATGACACCCACTGTCACTCCACATGCAGCTAAATACAAAGTTCAGACAGGCAAAACTGATTCTATTTACTTGCCAAAAAAGCTTATTCCAAAAACCAAAGCACTTGTTTAGTGCTAGTGTGTCATACTATAACCATGAGAACCACTTTAAGAGTGGAAAAAAGGGCCACTCCCATTGGAAACCAAAACCTGTGGAGAAAGCTTTGCCAATAGAAAGACAGAGCAGATAAACGAGGTAATTAGGGCTGGATGTGTTATGTCAAGGGAGTTTTGCTCTTCCGTATTAAGAGATGTATTGCACTCCAACTCACTAATGTTAGATGAACATCCAGAATTCAATCTAGTTTTTCAAGTAACACAGGATAAAGAAACATAATTTTCTCACCTAAATTGACGACATTCTTTGCCCAGAAGGTAGGGTCACAATGGAAGCGTATTGCTCCATTGGCAGCTGGGACAGGATCACAACGTGCCTTTAAGATATGACGTAACTGGAATGTTATCTAACGGAAAGCAAAAACAAGATCATTGATGACAATGAAATAAAGAATGGGAACATTAAAAAGCCCAGCAAGCTTAGACTGCTAGACACCAACAAGGACTGTCCATAGCAAGTTTGGTTAGTAGCCTGCGAAGTACTCAATCCCCCAGCAAAACCATCCACCGTACAATTAAATTTTTTATTCAACTCACAGGATTACAGACAAGTACTGTTGTTACAAAATAATACTACTTCTGCAACGACCCAGCTGAAACACTGAGGTGCCCGTACAGAGCTTGACCGTATTCTATGACAATACTGAAAAGTGGTGTACGGCTGGGAAATTTCTCCCATTATCGCAGAAGTATTTTTTGTTTTGTTGGGTTTTTCTCTTCCTCGGATATGATCTAGTGAAGCTACCTGATACACAGAAAATTCTTTTGACTAAACATTCCCTGTACTGCACAGACAAGTTAGAGGATGCTTCCTTACCAGCCGTTTACTGTACAGCAAAGCAGTACTGCTGCCACTGGCAATAGCCCAATTAGTAAAGTTCATCACATGTTTCACTTGCCGTGACAGACCAGTGATGTCATTTTGTTGCTGTATTAACTTCATCTGTCTCTCCTTTGTTACATTCTACAAAGACACAAAAAATTCATTACAATGGGGGCTTCAGATTTATGAGGAAAATGTAAGCCACTATCACAGCTTTTTGAACAAAAAAAGCAGCTTATACTATACGCAAGCAAAGCAGCTTATACTGTGCTGATATTCTGAGGAGCAATCATTCTCTATTACTCCGCTCTACCATTCTTCCCAGAGGTATTGAAGTGCAGGGAAAGTCGCAGGCTCAGAGAGGAGCCTCTGCTCTATCCCAGGAAAATATCAACTACTGAAACAAGACCAATTCTCTTAATCACGTTGCCAGAGACAATGCAGCGGGTCAAAGAACTGGGAGAGCGAGCCCAGTGACGCTGCCAGCTCCATGCTGGGCGCTGCCCTGGCACTGCTGCAAGGGCCACCAGCAGGGCTGCGGTGGCCCGGGCACACTGAACACCTGCCGAGTATGGAACTGCCTCTGAACACCTCCTGAGTACGGCAGGTAAACTCCACAGCCCCATCTCCGAGAAGTCTTGAGCTTTTGAAAACCTGCCAGCTGAAACCTCAGAATCAGCTCTGCAACACCTTCAGTCACACCAGATAAACCGTTTTCAGGCACAGAACCCAAGTTCTCAATAGAGGACTGGAAACAGTGAACACCACCACTATTTTTAACTCTTAACTGTACCTCAAGGTGCTGTAGGAGAGATTTTCCCTTTTTATTGATTTCATTGATGAGGGTGAATATAGCCACTTTGATCTCCTGCTCTACTCGCTTGTTAGTTTCATTTACTTCTTTTATCCTAAAAAAAGAAAAATGTGTTGTCAGGCAGTCACTTCATACTATGCCACCAAATACTAAACATCACAGACACTCTCCCAGTCTGAAAGACTAAGTACTGAAGAAGTTCTGGTAAGTCCAAAATTTATAGCTTCTTTGACTTCTATCGCAGAAAATACGATTAATCAATTTTTTCAAATAAGTCATCTAAAATTTCAGTTTTGGAAAAAATATTAAATAGTCTGAGATTAAGATGGCATCTCAATCAACATGCATTTTACTTAAAATAATACAAAACAGTCCTTGTGGTTTATACATTTTATTTATAGGTTTACACACACACAATACCCAGCTGAGATCATGCGTGTGTCTATGTACACTTTCACACCTCCATAAAATCTTGTAAAAAAAAAGGTTATTACATACCTGTAATCAATACACAACAATGATATAAACGTCGCACTAATGATCTGCCTGACGTTAGTCTACACTATTCTCTTGTGCTTTACTATTACCACCAGGTCATTTATACCTCAACACCAAATTTAGTGTTTTTCCTATTCCCAACTTCTTCAGACTCGAGCAAATCATCTTGAGGTCTGTCCACAGATTATGAAATACAGCATCTGTCAAATTCCGTTGTAAATTCTGGATTTATTTGATCCTACACTGCCTTAATCTAGTGACAAAGTAGCACTGCAGCAGGATTCTTTGCACAATACTTTACCATGACTTAAAGAGTCCTTTTTTAAAGGACTTCTCTGCTACTAGATTGAGCATCTGAACTTGTGATGTCATTCATCCTGGTACGATCACAAGACCAACACTCATGTGCCTGGCAATTACCCTCACTGTTGGTGTCAAATGCCCTTCAAGGCACCTTGGACCAGCTTTTCGTGACAGCACAACCTGGCCTTCTACTCCAGAAAACATTCAACCAATCCTTCATAAAGCCAGCAGGCATCCATCCGTGGCTTTGACATCTAACAGTTATTCCAGCAGCAAGTTATTCCTTCAATGCTGTTTTATGCTTCATGATCATATACGATGGCAATTTCATACCATGTGCTAATGCCAATAACATTATTATAATACACCTTTTCCCCCTCATTCCCTCAAGTTTTTTATGATATTGGATTTTGTGCCCTACACTTCAACAAAATAACTGAATGTTATGTCAAAGTAAACCAGTGCCTCACTTCCACTACCCACTTGGCTCAGCAGATAATCGCAATCTTTACACAACCCCGTCACATGCTGCAGAAATTCATTGAATTATCAGCAAAGCCAGGAACTTAGGCAAAAGAACAGTACGTGTTACTCATATATGCACTGCCCATTACTGGCCTTGAATTGTTATCAGAGAACATTTTTTGACATTTCTTGAGCTTTCAGTTTAATTATTATCCATGTAACTGGGATTCTGTCTCTTCTTCAAGCACGTAACAAACTTGTCCTCCTGATTCATGGTGATATTCTCTTTTGGGTCCCTTCAAAAAGCTACATGCCAAATCACCACATAAAAAAGTTTCCATTTTCCTTGCTCCCATCTCCACATATTTGCCTCTTGTCTTTAGTTCTCCTTCCCTTAAAATTTTTTTTAAAATATACATACCACTAGAAGTTCAAAATTTGCACCAGAACTTCTCCTTATAACTTTGGTACACTTCCTTCTACCCTTGTACTTCCCATCTGCAGATAATCTGTCATTTTGCAAATGACTGAAACGTCACAGAAAGCTCACAAAACCACCGAGAATCACAGCGGAATTTCCTGACCTCCAAGACACCACATCACCACAAGTGGATGAAAAAACGGCAGCAATCATGTGTGTTCTCTGTCTCTATAGTCAATATTCTATTTAGTGCTGAATGTAAGCTAACCCTGGAATCCTTGAATTAAACTACCTAAGGAAAAGCTTGTCTTCCTTTCAGGTAATTACACTAAGTTTTATTTTTCCTGTATTAAAAAACCCAATAATTTCCTATTCGAGTTCAAAATAAGTTTTTGTTACATAGTTATCAGAGGCATTCATATAAAACAGAAATATCTCACAAAAATCTGTTCAGTCATGCAGCTGAACTTGGCAGAAACTCTAAGATGGTTTTGCCTTTCCCTTTTTTTTTTTTTCCTCTCTGCTCCCTCAATTGTAATAAATGTGTGGTATCTTTGGTTCTACTCCAAGTTGCCATAAAAGACATCATCTTTGACATTTGTATCTTGCAACAACTTCCAACAGATACATGGTATTCCAGGGAAGAAAACATTACAAAAAGTAATTAAGTCCAATACAACTAAAGATACAGAATCAACTAAAACTATTCTAATCCCCTCTTTCATCTTACTATGATTCATTAAAACCCCCAATGTAACGTAACTGTTAATCATTCTGGGGTACTTACCTATTCTGAACTTGGGCGGCTGCAAAATTGACGTAATTCTTTTTCTCAAGAAGTTTGGCCAATAGGTTCTCAATGGCTCCCTTCTGGTTCTGAAAAGCTTCTTCCAGAAACTGATACCTTTTCAACATGCAAAAAAAGATACCAATTACTAAGGAGCAATGTGCTGCAACTAGGGGCTCCCAATTCAGATACAAAGCTATGCAATTTTGAAAAAGATAAATGACAAAACAGAGGAAAAAAAATCAGACTATATGTATGTCAGTCAGTGTGCAAAATGTTTCAGTACTGATAAACCCTTTTTAAGTGTCCAGAACCTCTGTGGGTCACTTACTAATTCCAGCTACACAGGGAGACACTGCACTGCATTGTTTCATAAGACAGCAAGCTATGGAACACCAGCTAAAGGAGATACCAGAAACTTCAGATTCGACAACTCATTTTGTTTACATTAGATGAGGGAAATGCACTAATTGCTCAAACATATGTTAAGTGACACAAAAAAAACCCCAAAAAAACTATACCAGAAAAAGTTTTTCAGCTGAAATTACACTGCTGAAGTAGTTCCATCTGAAAGAAAATATTCCGATTGAAAAAACAATCTTTTTTTCCCCACTACTTCCAAGTGAAGAACATATTCCCTTCCAAGTGCTTCAAGCAAACAGCTACTGAACCAAAGACACCTATCACTTCACCTGAAAAGAGCACAAGTGGCTGCATCTTCCTGACATACTCTGCTTCACAAGAGGAATTAACAATGCAACAGAAGCAAAATGCCTATGTTGAAAATGGCATGGGGAATCAAGCAGCTTCAAAAGTTTCATCTTTTCTGATCGACTGCTCAACTATCAAAAGATTTCTCCCAAAACCCAGGATTCCTACCAGCCACTTGTCACATATCTTTGCAGTTAACTTCATGCTTCTGAAATATAATTTATTAACAACAAGGAAAACTTAAGTTCCCAGAATGTCTGCCCTTCTTCACTACACTAAATCCCAACATTCAAATTGGCAGAAGACTCCCACAATTAAAGTGAAGCATCTTGTAAGCTGCATTAGAAGTAACCTATACTATCTCCCAACCACAACTGAAAAAGAAAGTAGCATTTGTCTTCTGTCAAAATCTAGAATGATGGAATGGTTTGGGTTGGAAGGGAGCTTAAAGACGATCTAGTTCCAATCCCCCACCATGGGCAGGGACACCTTCCACTAGACCGGGTTGCTCAAAGTCCCGTCCAACCAGAGGAGAACATTACAATCTGACAGAAGACGGTTTGGATTTACAGCTTCTTGATGCAAATCACTCACAGTTACGGTAACAGCGAATTAGGGAAAAAGAACACTATTCACAACAGAAGCTCTGGGACTCTGCTGCTGTTCATGGGGTTTGCATGCGCAGTAGACAAGTTTCAAGCCGAAGGAGTTTAGATTCCTCAGCTCAGTGTAAGGATGTTGCTATTTCTAAGAAATATTTCTAAAGTTCTTGCAAGCAAACAGTATCAAGAGATTTGGGGTACTATAATGCAAAAAGTAGCAGTGCTAAAGCCCAAAGACCACAAAACTTGAAATGTCTGGGAGATGTGCAGATTCTTTAAAGCTATTGTCATTTAGGTGAAGATCAGATTTCCAAGATGTGGATTTTCCAAAGCCTGTGGGCTGAAAACTATCTAAACTAGAGGAATCACACACCACTAGGCTACTAAAGGAATGTCGGCTGTCTACAGAATCACCAGCAACTCTTTCACTTGAAATTCTGAACTGAACGCAGGACCACGTTGCTACAGGAATGGTGACTCATGCTCCTTTGGTGTAAACTATTAGGATTTCAGATAAAAAGTAAACAGAAGATTAAAACCAATTCTTATTTTCACTTGGTATGATTTTCTTTCAATGATTTAATGAGCGTCACAAAAATCTTGGTTGCACTTCATGGCAGACGAAGCACTCGCCCTAATCATCCATAATTCGCATCTGCAGACAGAACAGTTTTTAAAGAATGTTTTGCAACAAAGCACGTTAATAGCAAAGTATTCTCTTCTCTCACTGGAAGAGAACAGGTAAGTAGAACAAGATACAACGGTTAATCAGTCAGCGTCATGCACAAAACAGGTGCAAAGAAATCAACTAGAAAAAGTAAAGTTAGTGAACATATCGCAGGAGACCACGCTTTTGGAAAAGGATGTCTTTCAGGATATTTATGATCAAGCCCGTGAAAGAACAGAGCAGGAACAGTCCAGTTGTTAATATTTTAATGCTACTAATTTCAAAAGTAGAAGTTCTACACCGGGCTGCTTTAGCAGTCTATGAGAGTAATCACTGCACTGGAACACAACCTACCAAATTCAATATTGCAGTGTTCTGTCAAGCACCTTTACAGACAAGTGTTACTTCTAGACTGACTAGAAAAAGTGTTGTAGTGGCTGATAAATACATATTTATACCCATATTCTCTATTATAACATTGCAAAACACTTTTTCAAACATCCAAACAACTATATGACAGAGCTACTAAGGAGCAGGATTCTTTCCATGTATTTTAACAGGTTTCAACTTTTTTTTAGCAGCTCTGAAGACAAACCCATCATTTCTTGTTACTTGGAATGAGGCAACTTTCAACCAACTAAAACCAACCAAATTCTACCTCTGTACTTAAAAACACATCAATCTATGAGGCAAAATTTATACCTTCCTTTACAAAATTATCTTAAATTGAAAGGCTTGCATAATAAAATATGTCCTTTCAAAAAATTACCTCATCCATGACTTGCTACATCACTTCTGCTTCTTTACAGCTCCAGGTGTTTGGGGCTGCAGCAATTTCTATTCAAGTCTTGAACAGAGTGACAGCACTGGTAAATGCCAGGCAAGTTAACCTCTTAATCGTACCACATTGCCTCAGATCACGTCGTTTTGAACCAGCTCTTAGGATACTTGATCAAGCTCAACCAACTGGTCACTTAAAAGTTTTTGCCATCCCACACTGGTTCTCCCTTGCAAGGGGTCATTTCAGTTCCAGAAAGAGTAAATACAACCATATTTAATGACACAACTCTTTTAAATCAATGCCATTTCATCCACTGAGAAAGCGCACCACAGGAATTAAGGTATGGTAATATTTGTACCTGTGTTCTTTGTGTTCCAGTAACTGACAGTCTCTGCATGTCAGCCTGTCACATGTTTCACAGAAAAGTTTTAACTGCTCTTGTTTGTGGACAGGACAGAAAACAGGACGTTGACCAGATGCTCCCACGGCCTCTGTTTTTAAAAATAAACCATTTTTGCATTTAAAAACAAAATTTAGACAATCTGAAGAGCAAAACGACTAACTTCCAAGCTAAGAAACACCCCAGAATTTGGACAGAGACAACTACAGACCTGTTCTCACCCTAAAGTTACCGTGAATATATTGTCATTGAAATATTTACAGGGCCAGTGATTTATGGCTGTTTCCATTTTATGATATTCAAAGAGAAAGAGGAATTCCTCTCCTTTCACAAACACTCAAAAGACACTGGCACCTGCAAGAATTTAAAATCTGTACACAAACACCAGGATCGTGTACACATGCTTAAATATCAAACTGCATGCAGTTTCACCTCTGACAGAATGAAGGATGGATCAAATCACACAAACTTTTATATTGTCAAACACCCGTAGGTTTTCTAAATTTTCACTTCAAAACCTTTATAAACCTCATTAAGTCATATGCAACTGAAGTGGTAAATGCAAAGCAAACATTGCCCATGTTAAAAACCAACTAAACTGCTTAACTTTTCCTCTTAAGCAAATATCAGATGTCAAAAAAAAGTTCCAAGTTTAGTAAAAAGTGCTGCACCGTCTTCTAAAGATATTTCGAGCTTAGCACAGAAGAAAGCAGCCTTTGGAAAATACAGCAGGTAAGGTTTAAAACATGAATGTCTTCCTCAGCCTCCAACATTTCTGAAGCTTGTTATATCATGCAAGTTATGTAAAGAAAGAGAGCTCGTGAATCTACAGCTGACACTCATTCATAGAAATTTAGTCTGCAGGGCTTCTCTTAAAGAAGGAAGGGAACAAGCTCCTCTGAGAAATGACTAGTCATTCCCCACGCTCGAGGGAGTTACCAAGGACCGCTGCACGCCAGGTCGGAGGAAGGCTGCGCTCCCGCACACGCCGACTGCGTGCCGGCTTCCTCCTTCAACAGAGCCTGAACTTCTGACGGGAAGTTACTTTATCGGAACAGCCATTCTCTGGCACCAGCCCACTCTGGTTGTTGAAGGGGAAGAGGAGCCATAGTATCACCTTGACAGTCACAATGTGGCCCTCCTAACGGAAAAAACATTCCCGATGCTTTTTGCAGGTCCCTGTGACTGGATTTCACCTCAAGAGTTTCTCATCTATCAGGAGTTATATGTTTTAACTTAAAGAGGGATTATTTCTCACTAAACAATACCCATTAAGATACACAGAGAAACCTCTCCAAAAAGTGAAGTTTATTTGACAGAGCAAGTGAAGTAAGATCTTTAAAAGAACTAAGCTCAACAGCAAACCTTTTACCTACTAGTATGATTTTGACAGGAGTTGGCCAAAAGCAAAGCTGCGTTACTCCTTTGACATGACATAACAAAACAATTGTGCGGATCTTAGTTTAAGCGGAGAGAGAGAAAAACATCAAGATCTCTCTTCCTGAATATAATCAGTCTCCATATACATCCAGATTGTTTAGAACCTACAGGTCTTTAAATCAGAGCTTTTATCCCATTCACAGACAAAATACTCCAAGCTAAAATCCATTTATCTTTTACCTGTTTCGAGAATGTTATCCACACTACCTCAGTAGGTTATAAATGATACACGGTTAAACAATTGTTTAAGAATTAACTGAAAATAAAGCTGCATGTCTAAAACCAGACACACTCTTTACACATTAAATTTTGCTAACTGAGACATTAAACCTAAAATGAATTCAAATTCCATATTGAGTCAGCAATACTGAGACAACAGTAACATCACACTGAATATGACTATTGGCTTATCTGTATATACTTCTCTACTGGTAGAAATATAATTGCTTCTTAAAACCAAGTACAGCAAAATGTATAATTCAATTTCCCTGGCCAATGGATAAGATTACCAATATGCCAGTGCTCTTCAGATTTCAACTCCTCCATTTAGTCAGTCTAATAAATAAAGAATTGTTAAGAATCCTTTCCAAAGACTGCAGTCTCTCTCGTTTCTTTCGTACTTAATATTTTTTCACATTGGACTTCAAATTGCACAAAATACTAGCAAATAACCCACTGAAGTTTAAAATTTAGTTTTTCCTAAATTTTTAGAGTTACCAATTTTTGCGCCAGGAGCTTCTTATTAAACTTATCCCAAATCTTTGTTGAAAACCATGCAGCTGGTTGTCACCTAGATAAACCTCCCCCTCTCTTTTTACATGTGCCAAGGAGACAGGCAGGACTAAGCGACCTCCAAACACTTACCTGAAGATACATCTTCTTTTTTTCTGATCATATGATCTTTAGTAAATTTTACTCGCTGATGAGCTTCTATGCAAGTCTTGCACAACCATTCCCCACACTCTACGCAAAATCCAACAGCACTAGCGTTATCTTCACAGCTTGTACACACCTGCGCAGGGAAGCAGTCAGTTACCATGAAGCACTAAGGTGTACAGAAACAAAGGGCCACACCAACTGCAGCAAGCAGGCAGGCGCCGTACCTGTTCTGACTTCTCATCGGAGCTGCTTGGTGTTTCTGAGGTGTCTTTTACAAAGTAGTTATCCACTAGATCTATCTGTCTGCATTCTTGGCGGCATATGGGACATCTGATGACACCAACTGCAAAACACAAAAAGTTTCCTAGTTTTAAGAAAAAGAATAGGAAAATCAACACGACCAGAATGAAAAGACGGCAAGAACAAAAACAAAATCCTCAGACTGCTCATTTCACTTGGGTAAATGAACAGATTCCACAGCCGACATGACTCTTAACAGCCATCACCCCCATGTAATAGGTTTCGCCCAGAAAAAACATCCCAACAATAACAAAATACAAAAAAAACCACCCACAAACCACACACACCTCTTCAGAAAATGATGCCTTACCTAGAACGAAATTGTGATAATCTCTGCATCACAGTTTCCACCCCCAAAATACATATTAGCCACGTCACTTGTTCTCCCCAAGCAAATAGCTCCCCCTGCTTTTGTTAAACTCGTTACTTTCTGTAACTGCCTGTTGTCCAGTCTGCCTCAAGACAAGCATTAAGAAAGTCGTGGCTGCACAGTCAGGGGTGGCTTCAGTGATGTTCATGAAAACATCACACGAAGAATACCGTGTGACACAATATTCTCCCAGATACAACAGAGGACATTTTCTAACCTACTTCCATGAGGTCAGCGAGGCAGATGCAGTAATAGGAACTGGAGGTTTCAGGCTTTTTTCAAACTGTGTTCTGCAGGGAAGGCCAATAGCAAAAAACACCAGTTGACAGCAAAACGTTCCCTCATGCAAACAGTGGCTGCCTTTCTGCAGCACACAGAACACTTCGCACATAGCGATATAGATGTGTACACCCATAGCTTTAACACCAGCTATCAATTAGACAAGTTCCTTTCCAACATCCTGCTTTTTCATACTCTGTAATTGCTAAATTAGAGTTCTAAGTCCTGAGTGGAGCTGCAAACTCAAATTAACTTACAAGATGTTCTATGAACAACCTGTGTTAAAGGTTTGAAGTTATTTACCACTACAGTAGTGGTTAACACTTTCTTCCCAGAAGTGCCATCTATTCCTGAATTGAGCTCCTACACAATTTTATTGTGAATAACATTTTCAAGGAGAAGCTTTCAAAGTGATTGGGTATTTTTATGCACTGGGATGCCTGAAACAATTTTGAAAAGTAAGTGTAATTAAATGATGCTCAACTCCTTTGTGGATATTCAGTTAGAACAGTAGGACTTACTTCAGGGAGATTAATTACATTAGTAGTAAATTAGCATTCATTTTTTGAAGTGTTAAAATTAACAACGGCATCAGAAGCAATGACAATAATTCAATCAAAAATCCCCTGTCTCACCAAATGAAACGTGCTTCAAGAGCAGGATGTGAAAAACAGACACTGTCGAACACCGGCCACCACCAGGGAAAAGCTGCCCCTGTCCCGGAACCCTCGCCTGCAAACCAGGGTGTGGATCCCAGCTGCAAAGCCAAGGCAGCGCTGTGCCACAAGAACATTTCGGTACAGCTCCAGCTCGCCTGGCAACTTCCGCCAAGCTCGTCACCTACACTTCTAACCAAAGCAGAACGCACAATACATGGGGTGAGAGTTCTGCAGAGCAAAGAGAGGCAAGTAGCACAGATTTCACTAAGCAACACAGGTTGAACTGTTACTTATACAACCGCTAGAAGTCACATCTTCCTTACATTGCACATCAGACGTTCTTATTTGTCGGAGACTTTATTAAGGGCACTAATGAGAGTAGCATCTACGTAATCCTTTTAACTGCTTATGATTTAGATAAAGCACACTAAACTAGACCACAGACAAAGGATGTTAGAAAGCACAAAACACTTGTAAATTGAGGAGAAAAAGTAAATTTGTTTTCATATAAACAGACTAGTAAAAAGCCTGCAACACAATCCAGCAGCAAATCACAATGGAACACTTCAAAGAACTTAAGACTTCAAACAGAAGATGCTTTTAACCTACCATCACCAGCTGCATTGAAAGCAGCGTGGCCAGCAGGTCGAGGGAGGGGACCGTGCCCCTCTGCTCCGCTCTGGTGAGACCCCCCCTGCACTCCTGTGCCCAGCTCCAGGGCCCCCAGCAGGGGAAAGACACGGACCTGCTGGAGCGGGTCTGGAGGAGGCCACGAAGGTGATCGGGGGTGGAGCACCAACCCTGTGAGGACGGGCTGAAAGAACTGGGGTTGTTCAGCCTGGAGAAGAAGCTCCAGGGAGACTTCAGAGTGGCCTGCCAGTGCCTGAAGGGGCTGCAGCAGAGACGGAGAGGGGCTCTCTATCAGGGAGTGTAGGGGTAGGACAAGGGGTGACAGTTTCAAACTGAAAGAGGGTAGATTTAGATTGGATATCAGGAGGAAATTCTCATCTGTGAGGGTGGTGAGACACTGGAACGGGTTGCCAAGAGAGGTGCAGAAGCTCCCATCTCCCTGGAAGCGTCCAAGGCCAGGTTGGACGGGGCTTGGAGCAAGCCGGTCTAGGGGCAGGTGTCCCTACTCATGGCGTGGGGCTTGCAACTAGATGATCTTTAAGCTCCCTTCCAACCCATTTTATGATTCCATAACTAACATCTAAAGCTGCAACAACAGTATTTTTCTTAATTGTAACTCTGAATATGCGAATACCTTGCATATACCTATGTTTAATGTTTCCCAAGGGTAACAACATTTCTCTGATGTATCTGCATGCATCTCAAAACATGCAATTTTGTCAACAGGTTAATGTAACTATGAAATCCTTCATCTTGAATGAGTTTGAACAGGAATTTATTCAAAATCTGCTTAGAATTCATTTCTCCAGTCTGACATCTTAATCCCTGACAACACTAAAATACTCTTCCAAATTTTAAAAATGCTTGAAAGCTACAAAGTTGGATGGGAAAGGCTTGATTCTCTGTACTTGCAATATTGTGGGACCAAACCAGAGAAATCATCCCCAGAGCAAGCTTGTGTCGAGTCTTCGGCTACTAGACCATCTCTAGTGCGGTAGGAGGAATTCAGACCCTTGACACTTTTCACGTAAGCTGAAATCCACTGATCATCCCCAGGACATCTTTGCTCTGCCCACCAAGACGGTATGTGTTCAACTCATACCTACTACTTTTGCACATGCACTTAGTACCAGCCTGAAATTCTACCACAGCGCCCGCTGACATCCAAGTCATCAGCCTTCTACAATTCTAATTACTGTTGAGTGAACAGCAGTGGTTTAGACAGCTGATTTTAAACACACGTGTTTGTGCTGGGTTGAAGTGTGTCAGGCTGGTTCCCAGAACGAAAGTACTAAGTGAGTATAAGAAAATTAAAAATTCTCTCAGACATTTATGTTGTTATGACGATAAAGCTTCCCAGTTCAGGAAATATTTGCAAGCACTCATGCAATCTAATAACTCAAACTTCGGTTTTAAGTTCACACTTGGCACGTATATAGTCCTCCAAGGAATGAATCTTTGCCAGGTTTCATCTATTGGTTGAGAACACCAACAGTAGTTACTGCATGCGCATAATATTTACTTCTCTCAGAAACATAGGAGCCTAAATATGTTCCTGCACAGCCCTACATCAAAACCCCACTCTAGTTTCAATGACTACACCATGAAATAAACCCTCACAGGTCAAGCAAGTAATACAATCAAGACTGAAATCTATCAGAATATAAACACATTTTTTTTAAAAAAAATAAAATTAATTGCTTTCAAGGTCTACTCTAACTCAGCGTTTTGGGGGTGGGTTTTTTTTGATAAGTCCAGCCTACAAACTGAACATTTTTCAGGGCCTGGCCTTTGCTGGGCTCCAGCATACAGTCGTGATGCTCATTCATCAACATGGGAGAAAGCTTAAGACTGGAGAGGTCTGGTGATGTGTACTAACATCCACTGAAACTAAAATGGCCTGAATTTACAAAGCTTGGGCAGCCTATTTTTTGCAGGAGCTTTCAGCTTTCTAGACTGAAAATACAGTAACTGCCAACAAATGCAATTTAAGTGATATGTCACATTCTCATAGCCACCATGCCATTTTTATGTCCCCCTACCCAAGGCAAATCAAAAATAGTTAATGCATAATTTAAGGTGTGATTAATATACCAGTTCTAAATGCACAAACACTGGGTATGGAAGCATATAAAGACATTTTACGACACTATATATTACAATAAATGTATTGTTCCTCAAATTATACACACATACACATGAACCAATTGCGTATGATTTCCTTAGGCTCTCCCAAAGCACCTTGGAGCTCTTTTTTAGTTTTTCAGCCTAATGAAGATTGTGACATTCACGAGGAGCTGGGAGAGCCACACGTTCTCTCTGTTGAGATAATCCTCTTAAGACAGATTTTAAATATCTCAGTGAGGCAGTGAAACCTCAAAACAACCTATCTTCCCAGGGGCAGAAGCAGTAGTGGGAGCGTAAAAAAGTTGTTTTGTTGTACCCATAAACATCTGAAATCTCTAACTTAGAAATAAACATTTTTCAGAATACTGCAATACTTATACAAGAATGCATGTTTTGTAACTAACTTATTCAGTCTGAAAGGAAGAGTCTAGTCGGAACAGCTGAAACACAAGGCACTAAGAAACCACCTATCCAGCAAATAAAACACACTTTCCAATTACGCATTAAGTCATTAAATTCAACATGAGATGCTCCTTATGTTAAATAAACGATATCAAAAGACATGTTTCAAGCACATAAAAAAACCGCAATTCTAATTTTTTTCCCCAACATAAATGTAAACAACAGCAAAAGAATTCTATCACCAGTGCAATATGCATGGACCTACCAGTTACTTCTTTATAATACAGAAAACCATGACTTTAGATAATTGTTGTAAACTTTAGTCAGTGTTTCTCCAAATTTTAGGAATCAAGACTGTTCTTCTGTCCTCATTAACAGTGTTTCAAGGAAACGGCAACAAGGTAAGAAAAGAGATATAAACCACAAACTACTGCCTTCAAGCATCTTCACTGTTTTATCTATGAGAGCAGGAGTGTTCCTCCATCAGGAAAGGCTGCTGTCGCTCAGAGAACTGCTCTGTACACACCCACCTCACACTCAACTCCTCACAAGCAGCTTTTGCAGTTATTGCCCAACAAGTACACATATTTTCTGTTTTAAGTACTGACAACTCTTACAGAGCAAAATCTGAGCTAATTAAGGAGGCAAGCAGGAAAATATCAACAGAAAAACCAAATCCTTTTCCACAGCACTTGTAATTCTCTTATCTACATGCAGAGACACTGGAAAATAGACAAATTTGAATGCACGTAACATAGCGTAGCAGCAAGAGCTCACAGTTAAGAGTAACCTGCTTCAGTGCGTACCACTGACCATTAATTCTTCCTTCACGAAGAAACACCAGCTCGTGGTTAAGGAGACTAGAGAAGCAGCAGACACGACTATCAAAACCGAGCCAAGAGGGAAGGAACCCGCATGACTAAGCAGCATGGTCCAGATACAGAATGGGCATTCTCAGCATACAGACAAGGATGCTGTATGCTGGGAATGCTCATTCTGTATCTGGCTTACTGGTAAGCATTTCATGTGCCACTCAACTGATTCCATTTACAACATGCAGAGAGAGCTGTCCACAAAACTGCATCTTCTAGCTGGTCGATAGCTCATTCTTATCTGACCTGCTGGACTAATACATTTGTCTATAGAGACTTACGGACCATGGCAACATACCCTGCTAGACCCTACGCACACACTTGCTCACTTCATCTACGTTTCTGACACAGCAATCCAAAGATAAATTCTTACTTCACCAAAGCAAAGAATCAAGAGTTCTTAGAACGTGTGTAACAAGAATTGACATTCCAATTGATATATGCTTCAAGCTTCGAGTTGTTCCCATGCCTGCATTCTAACAGACATAGTGGGATTCAGATAATTCTGCTAATTGCTGATAAAATAAACTTACTTTTCCGAGTTCTGTATCTTTCACTAGCACATATAATAGAAAACGTAGGACCTAGAATCTAACAAGGATCAGAAAACTGAGTGCTTTACTTGGTGCTTTTATGAACTATATTTAATGCATCATCTTTTCAAGACTACTTCCTAGATTAATTGCTTCTGAACAGTTTCCATGAAAGACCCACTACCAAATCAAGTTAATTCCTTCACCATATAACACAGGAAAGGCTGGAGTCCTTGCTAAAACCAGAAAGATGTCACCAAACAAGGTCTCTTTGACCACAGGGCCCATTTAAGACCTGTAAAACCACTTACAAGTCCCTAGTTTGGTTGGTAGACCACACCAGGTGAGTCACTCCATTAAAAGCTCCAGAAGCTTTTCAGTTCCATCCCTAAACATATAAAAAAAATGAAACATGAACTGTGATTTCAATAAAAACACCTAGAATATGCAGTCTACTCTTGTTCCATGGCACGTAAGTTACATATGTGGAGCATACAGGCACAGGGAGTCAGCTGCCAAACTGCACTGCAACGTTTTAACTCTGTAAACAGCAAACCTGTATCTGAAAGC